GAACCAGCAACTTCCTGGTTTGACACTCAATCTCTGAGCCATCCAGTCAGGACTTAAATATCTTTTAATTTAGACTCTAGATTACTCCCACCTAGTAGGTTCCTCTATCACCCTAGCCAGTGGTTGGCAAACTGCGCCTCGTGAATCACATGCTGGCTCTTTGGCCCCTTGAGTGTGGCTCTTCCACAAAATACCACGGTCTGGGCCAGTCTATTTTGAAGAAGTGGCGTTAAAGTTTAAGTTTTAAAAATTTGACTCTCAAAAGAAATTTCAGCCGAAACCGGTTTGGCTCAGTGGATAGAGCATAGGCCTGCGGACCAAAAAGTCCCAGGTTCAATTCCAGTCAAGGGCATGTATACATTGGTTGCAGGCATTCAATATGTTTCTCTAAAAGATAAAGCCTCTTTATCTTTTAAATAAAGCCCAGTTGGGGGGAGAGGGGGTGCAGGAGGCAGCTGGTCAATGTATCTCTCTCATCGATGTTTCTAGCTCGCTAGTTCTCTCCCTTCCTCTCTGTGAAAAATCAATAAAATATATTTTAAAAGAAATTTCAATTGTCGTATTGTTGATATTTGGCTTTGTTGACTAATGAGTTTGCCGACAACCACTGCCCTATCCTGTCTCTCCCCCTCCTGCCAATATCTATTCTATTAGTGATCTATTTGCTGCATAATGAATTACCATAAAACTTAGTGACTTAAAACAACAAATACTTGTTATCTCAGTTTTTGTGAGGCAGGAATCTGGGCTGACTCCCTCTAGCTCAGGGTCCTGCACCAGCTGCAATCTCAGTGCTGGGTGGGGGGGATGTTAGGTGGTGTCCTGCCTGCAGGGTAATTGGGAAAGGATCTGCTTCCAAGCTCACCCAGTAGGTGTTGGCAGCATTTAGTGGCCCATCACTCTATTCCATGCTGGTCCCTCCAACATGGCAACTTGTTTGATCAAAGTGAGAGAAGGAGAGTGAGCAGTGGGCACTTGAGTGTGCACCAGACTCACCTTGAGGCTCTGAGGAAACTCCTGGGCTCTGCCCCCAGAGCTCCTGATCCAGCAGGTTTGAGTGGGGCCTACGGTGGTGCATTTGTAATGAGTTCCCAAGTGAGGCTGGGGCCACACTTGGAAAACTACTGCATTATAGGAACCCCCTCCCTCACTTTTTATTTCTTCATTGCATTTTATCTGTTGATGGGTCACCCTTAAGAATTCCCAGGTGAGGAGAGTGATTTCAACCCTGGCGGCAAATAAGGATTGCTTGGTGAACTTTAAAAAACAGTAAGCCTAAAAGCCCCATTCAAGACTTGCTGAATCAGAAAATGGGGTGGGGGTTTCTGGAGGTACTTTTTAAAGCTCTTTGTGTGATCCTCATGTGCAGCTGGGGTTGAGATCCACTGGGCTAGAAGTAGCTGGGATTTCACCCTAGATAAGTCCCTTTAAGTAACCACTGGGATAATAAGTAGTGTTTACTAGGCATGTAATTAACAGGCCCTGCACCAAACATGCTACTGTATCTTCTTGTCTTGTCTTCACATTGCTGCCATGACTCATTACTCCCACCTCTCCAGTGAGAAAACTGAGGCTTGAACTTAAAACAACAGACCTGCCCAAGGTCACCCAGTGTGTTGATTTTCAAATAGATGCACAAATTCTTTGATGCTCCTCCCTTCAAAAAGTGGAGTCTTGGCTGGCTGGTGTGGCTCAGTGGTTGAGTGTCGACTCACGAACCAGGAGGTTACAGTTCAATTTCAGTCATGCCCGGGTTGCGGGTTCAATCCCCAGTAGGGAGTGTGCAGGAGGAGGCCGATCAATGATTCTCTCTCTTCATTGATATTTCTATCTCTCTCTTTCTCTCCTCTCCTTTCTCTGAGATCAATAAACACATATTTTTTAAAAAGTGGAGTCTCACCTTGAATGTGGACTAGACTTAGTAACCCACTTCTAATGAATAGAATATGGTACTGACAGATGATGACTTCTGTGACTTGGTCATAAAAGGCATTCTTCTTGCTCTCTATGGAGAACTGCTCAGGCTAGGAGAAGCCAGCTACTGTGCTGTGTCACTTGGAGAGGCCCTGGTAGTGAAGAACTGAGGCCTCCTGCCTATAGCCATGTGAGTGAGCCACATGGGGGTAGATCCTCCAGCCTGCCAAGCCTTCATGTGACTGCAGCTCTGGCTGGCATTTTGAATGCAATTGCAAGACAGACCCTGAACCAGAACCATCCAACTGAGCTGCTTCTGAATTTCTGACCAACAGAATCTATATGAAAAAAATCACTGTCTGCTAAGTGTTGGGGTAATTTGTTATGTAGAAACAGAAACTATACAGTCCATAATTCAAACTTGGGTCTGTGATTCCACGGGCTTCACTCTTACCCCTTCTCTTAGTCAGGGTCAGTTTCTAGCATGGGGGGCATGAGCCTCCACCCCAGCCATGGGCAAAACTGGGGAGTACTTCCCACCTGTGCATCAGCCTGATCCTGGGAAGTCTTTGTTTTTCCTGAGGCCTGAGACTGTAGGTGTTATGGATGCCAGACTGACCTGATCACCATTGCAGGTTGCTGGATACATAGTAGATGTTCAATAAAAAGTTGTTCCATAAATAATCACCTTTAACCCACTTTTATGGGGGGATATATTGTCTTATTAAAAGTCATTTTTGCAGGTAATACAATGGGGGTCTGTCTCTCTCAGGAGGGTGCAAACTTGCTGAGGGGGTCACACAATCTCCATATTCCCAGTAGGGCCTTGAAAGAGCAAATGTAATAACAGGGACTCCATGATCAAGGCCACTTGGGCTAATGTCTTTTATGTGGGTTACATCTAAATCTTTTAGCAAGGCAAGGCCAGTTATTCCCATTTTATAGATAAGGACACTGAGGCTCAGAGAAGGTAACTGGGAAGTGGCAGAGCTGGGCTCCAATGCAGTTCAAAGCCCTTTGTCCAAGTTCCCCTCCAGTGGGAAGCCACAGCACTCAGATCTAGAGAAGAGAGTAGCTTGTGCTCAGGCTCAGCTGTGGATAAAAACCCCTGACAGCTGGGCCTAGGGAATAATGCCTGCCTGACCACAAAGCAACCTCAGGCCCAGGATGGCAGCTATGAATAATGGATGACACCAGGGGGATAGGAAAGGGAACCATTGTGGCCAGTGATTCATCTCCACAGTGCCTGGCCAACTACCTGTGGAGGGGGAGGATGAATGGACTCCAGCCTCAGAGTCAAAGGCAGGGCCCACAAGGGAATTGGGGGTCAACCCCACTGTCTACCCGTTTCAATGTCCAAGCCCTTCCTCTCCTCCCCGTTTCAATGTCCAAGCCCTTCCTCTGGAAAAGCAGCCAGTTCTTCCCCAAGCCCAGGGGACTGGATTCTGGAGGACGGAGGAAGGGAATGGAAATGTTTTGTGGCTGTTTTTTTTTTTTTGCTTTTTTTGTGTGTGTGTTTTTTTTAAAATATATTTTATTGATTTTTTTTTTACAGAGAGAAAGGGAGAGGGATAAAGAGTTAGAGAAACATCGACCAGCTGCCTCTTGCACACCCCCTACCGGGAATGTGCCTGCAATCAATGTACATACCCCTGACCTGAATCGGACCTGGGACCTTTCAGTCCACAGATGGAAGCTTTATCCACTGAGCCAAACCAGTTTTGGCTGGAAATGGTTTTGATGTGTGGTGGTGATGGATGAGGGGTCTGCAGCCAGACTACCAGGGTTCAAGTCCTCTGACACATGCTAGCTGTGTGACCTTATGATTCACCTCCTCAGTGCCTGGCCAACTACCTCTAGAGGGCAGGATGGATGGACTTCCCCAGGAACTGGATTCTGTAGGACAGAAAAAAGGAAGGAAAATGGTTTTGATGTGTGGATGAGGGACTTATTCATCCTATTTGAGATGCATCTGTAAAGTGTAGAAAATTCTATCTACTTCACACTGTTGTCAGGGGTTGAGTTAATGACACATGTAAAGTGCTTAGCACATCACCTGGCACACACTAAGTGCTCAATAAATGCTAATTAGTGTTCTTATGCTCTGTACCTGGCGATGCGGGCAGCATTCTGCATAACTTATTTCATGTAATCCTCATGGCAACCCAAAGCAGTATCTAGTATAATTCCCATTTTACAGACAAGAAAACTGAGACTCTCAGAAATGAAGTTAAGATCTTAGACAGTCCCTTGAGGATTTAAACTCAAATCCAATGAGCAACTTCCAGTACACTAAGAGTTCCAGTCGATTATCCTGTCCCACCAGCCCCAAAATATATTTGTCCCTTATAAAAGTTCCTAAGATTACACAACTAATCACTCAGTACACAAATATCAACTCCAGATTAAGAACTTAAATGCCCAAACAAATTTAAAAAAAAAACAACACTTTAAAATCTTTAGTGGAAAGTATAGGTAAATATCTTTTAGACCTTAATGTTGGGAAAGATGGCAGATTATGAACTTAAATGTCAAAAACAAAGCTTTAGAAAACATAGGTGAATACAATTTAGACCTTAAGGTTGAGAAAGTTGTGCAGCATCATTATGATCAAGTAAGTGCAGATTAAGATCTCTACCAGTAATAATTTTACCTCCAACTGACAAACATTTTAAAATTTAGTTATGCCAAATAGAGGAGAGGACATGGGTCTTACACGTTGCTGGTGGCAGTGTAATTAGTACAATTACTTTAGAAAGCAGCTTGCTATTATCTCCTACAGGTGAATATCCAGATATTCTGAGTCCCAGGGATTCCACGTCTAGGTAAACACTCTAGAGCAGGGGTAAGGAACCTTTTTTCTGTCAAGGAAAATTTAGATATTTATAATACCATTCACAGGCCATTCAAAATTATTACCATAAGAATCAGCCTGCTGTATTTGGTCAAATGTTTAATAAACTCACCCCTAATGCCTTGGCAGGGCCAGGCCAAATGATTTCATGGGTCTTCTATGGCCCTCGGGCTGGGAGTTCCCCACCCTACTCTAGAGAAACCCTTGCACACATGCAGCAAGAGCCACTTACCAGAATGTTCATTTTAGCAGACACCTGGACACCACCCAGAGGCCATCTGTTCGAGAGCAGAGGGTACAATGACCTGGTAGAATAAGGCACAACAGTTAAAACAAGTGATGTACACTATGGGTCAGTCTTCACTTTATACTATTCCATGAAGAATTAAGTCCCAGAATAAGTATAAGATTCATACAGCTTACACTCATTTTTGGTTGCCTGGATTCTCTTTGTTGCAGATTGAATTGTGTCCCCAAAGAACTATGCTCAAGTCCTAATCCCTGTTAATTATAAATGTGATCTTATTTGGAAATAGGGCCTTTGCAGATGTGATAAGTTAAGTTTAGATAAAGTAATACTGGTTTAGGGTGGGCCCTAAATCAAATGACTGGTAAACTTATAAGAAAAGGAGAATATCCTAGCCATAGTGATTAGGCAAGAAAAAAAATAAAAGGCATCCAGATTAGAAAGGAAGAAGTAAAATGATCTCTGTTTGCAATGACATGATCTTATATATAGAAAACCCAACTCCACCCAAAAGCTGTTAGGATAAATAAATTCAGTAAAGTTGCAGGATATAAAATCAATGAAAGTTATTTGTGTTTCTATATACTAACAACAAACTACTTGAAAAAGAATTTAATAAGACAATTCCATTTTTAATAGCATCAGAAACAATAAAATACTTAGGGATAAATTTAACCAAGGAAATGGAAGACCTGTACTCTGAAAACTATAAGACACTGGTGAAAGAAATTAAAGAAGACACACAAAAACGGAAAGCTATACCGTGTTCTTGGATTGGAAGAATTTACAGATTCACTGAAATTCCTATCAAAATTCCAATGGCATTTTTCACAGAAATAGGAAGAAAAGAAAAAAAACTATTCGAAAATATGTATGGAACCACAAAAGAGTCTGAATAGCCAAGGCAATCTTGAGAAAGAAGAACAAAGTGTGTGTTGGAGGCATCACACTTCCTGTTTTCAAGCTATATTACAAGCTATACTAATCAAAATAGTATGGTACTGACATAACAAAAAAACACATAGACCAATGGAACAGAATAACAAGCCCACGCATAATTCCATGCATATATGGTCAACAAACACACAGTGGAGAAAGAATAGTCTTTTTAATAAAGGCAGCTGGGAAAACTAAATATCCACATGCATAAAAATGAAACTGGAGCCTGTCTTAGATCACTCACAAAAATTAACTCAAATGGATCAAAGATTTAAATATAAGACCTGAAACCATAGAAGCATATGGAAAAAGAGTTTTGACATTGGTCTTGGCAATGATTTCTTAGATAAGACACCAAAAGCTCAGGCAACAAAAGCTAAAATAAACAACTTACATCAAACTAAAGAGCGTTTGCACAGCAGAGGAAACAATAAATTGATAAGGCAACCTACAGAATTTGAGAAAATATTCCTAGAACTCAATAACTATAAAAGCAAATAATCTAATTTTAAAATGGACAAAGGACCTAAAAAGATATTTCCCAAAGAAAACATTCAAATGGCCAATAGGCACATGAAAAGATACTCAACATCACTAATCATCAGGAAAATGCAAATCAAAGCCCCAATGAGATATCACCCCACATTTGTTAAAATGATTATTTTTTTTTTTTTTTAAATAGCAAATGTTGGTGAGGTTGTAAAGAAAAGGGAACCCTTATGTATTATGGGTGGGAATGTAAATTGGTGCAGTCACTATGGAAAATGATATGGAGATTCCTCAAAGAATTAAAAATAGAATTACCATATGATTCAGCAATCTCACTCCTGGGAATATATGTGAAAGAAATGAAATCAGTATCTTGAAGAGATATCTACTATCTCATATTCATCGCAGCATTATTCACAATAGCCAAGGTCCTTCAACAGATGAATATATTCAATATACATATACTATATACATTGTGTGTGTGTGTATATATGTGTGTGTGTGTGTATAGACATAAAAAGATATAGATATGAGTAATGGAAAATATAAACACACATACACATATAACATTCCATTGTAAATATTTAGGATGTCCCCCCCAAAAACACTTAAATGTGGAATAAGAAACAAAGAAAAGAAGAGAAAAGAAAACTGATTTTGTAGAAACATAAAGTAGAGGGGTTCAGTGGAGGAGGACATAAGGAGATGTAGGTCAAAGGGTATAAACTTTCAACTATAAGAAGAATAAGTTCTGAGAATCTAATGTACAGCATGGTGGCTATCCTATATAATAAAAAGGTAATATGCAAATTGACCATCACTCCAGCATACAAGATAGCCACCCCATGTGGTCAAAGATGGCCACCCCCATGTGGACACAAAATGGCCATCACAAGATGGCCAGCAGGGGAGGGCAGTTGTGGGGGATCAGGCCTGCAGGGGAGGGCAGTTAGGGGTGACCAGACCAGCAGATGAAGGCAATTGGGGACAACCAGGCACGTAGGGAACGACAGTTCAGGGGAACTCAGGCCTGAAGGGGGGACAAGGCCTGCAGGGGAGGGCAGTTAGGGTCAACCACACTGGCAAGGGAAGGAAGTTAGGGGTGATTGGGCCAGCAGGGGAGTGCAGTTGGGAGAGCCAGGCCTACAGGGTAGGACAGTTAGAGGCGACCAGGCTGACAGGGGAGGGCCTTAGGGGCAATAAGGCTGGCAAAGGAGGGAAGTTAGGGATGACAGGGCCAGCAGGGGAGGACAGTTGGGGGCAATCGGGCCAGCAGAGTAACAGTTAGGCATCGATCAGGTTGTCAGGGGAGTGGTTAGGGGGTGATCAGGCTGGCAGGCAGAAGCGGTTAGGGGGCAATCAGGCAGGCAGGCAGGCAAGCAGTTGAGAGCCAGCAGTCCTGGATTGTGAGAGGGATGTCTGACTGCCTGTCAGTGAGATTGGGTCTAAATGGGCAGTCAGACATTCCTCGAAGGGTCCCAGATTGGAGAGGGTACAGGCTAGCCTGAGGGACATCCCCCACCCCCGGGCATGAATTTCATGCACCGGGCCTCTAATAGTTAATAATTTGTTATTGTATACTTGAAAGTTGCTGACAGTAAATATTAAGCATTCTCACCACACACACACACACACACACACACACACGAGGTAACTACCATGTTTCCCTGAAAATAAAACATCCTCCAAAAATAAGACCTACTTACAGATTTCCTTCTGAGTGAAATATAAGGCATCCCCAAAAAAATAAGCGCCCCCCCCCCCCCAGGCTCTGACTCAGAATGAAAATTAATTTACCATAAACTGGTCCCTAGGGCTGCCCCGACTGGCATCTAGCAACCAGTGACATTACGCGGAGTCCTGACATCACTGGTGTGTGGAGGTGGAGCGGAGGTCAGAGTGAGCGGTGGAGGTCAGAGTGTGCGGAGCAGGAGAGAGGAGGAGACTTTCACAGATGCGTGTAGAAAAACAGGAGGATTAGAGCGGACAGGACACGGCGAAGGTGCTGAGTGCTGGTCTGTCTCTGGTGACACTACCTGATGCTCGCAGCCGCCCTCATGATGACTGAAGGTTCTCAGTCAGTGGCAGACCCTACTCCATCCCAGATCCAGGCCCCAGCAATCCCAGTGACAGTCCTCAGACAGGCCCCAGAGGGTAAATGTCTGATAAAGGGGTAAGGGGGGATGTCTGGTGAAGGTGTTCAATGGCACAGGGGTGGGGGGAGGGGGATCACTTAAAATGACACAGGAGGATCAGAGGGGGCAATCAAATTGACACAGGAGGATCTAAAAGGATTACTAAAATTGTAATAACCCCTCTGATTCTCCTGTGCCATTTTGATTCCCCCCTCGAATCCCCCCTGTATCATTTTAAGTGATCCCCCTCCCCGCACCTTGATACCCCAATCCTTTTTTTTTACCCCTAGAAATGAGCGCAAAAAGAAAAAGCTACTCCATGGAGTACAAGAAAGGAATTGTGGAAGACTCTTGGGGCCAAAATCTTACTGCTTTCTGCAAAGAGAAGATGTTGAGTATCCAAGTGGTCCAAAAATGGCAAACTGAGTATGGTAACCTCATTGAACAAGTGGACAAGGGAAATGCTAAAAAGCACAAGTGTGGATCAGGTCGGCAATCATTATTTTCCGAGCTGGAAGACCTGATCTGTGAATGGGGTGTTGACAGGAGAGGCTTTGGTTGTGAATAGGACTCAGATTCAAGAATTTGCCCTTGCAATGGCACCACAGTTTGACATAGCCCCCGAAGACTTCAAAGCATCAAAACACTGGCTGGATAATTTCCTTTAGCGAAGTGAACTGTCTTTAAGAATATCTACAACATTGTTTAGGTTAGAAGATACTCAAGTTATTAAGCGAGCACTTGCATTCAAGTCCTTTATTGATGATGCTAACTTCTCTAAATACAATCTTTCCAACATGATTGTTATGGATGAAACTGTAGTGTTTATGGGCCAATCATCTCAAACAGCAATTGAACAGCGGGGTGCCTCCTTAGTGTACATTCCCTCCACTGCTTACAAAAGTGCACATGTTTCCTGTATTTTGGCAATTCGTCTGGATGGCACTAAAATCCCACCTTTAATCATTTCTAAGGGCAAGAAGGAAAAGATTGAACATGTTTTGGGCGTTTTTATTCTTAAAACTGAAAAAGCCTGGGCCGCACAAGCAGTTATAAGGAAGTGAGTAGATTTAATGCTGCCGCTTGTTATGCGAGGGAACCAAAGAGGTCTGCTAGTCTGGGATGCAGCCAGCACTCACCGCGCTAAAGACATGAAGACATTTCTTCACGAAAGAAAAATAGATCAGATGATGATTCCTGCAGGAATGACGGCCTATCTCCAGACTCTTGATATTGCAATAAACAAGCCATTCAAAGACAATTTGCGCATGGAAATTAATGACTACATTGAAAATAGAATGGAGAGAAATCAGCGTGGAAACTTTGTGAAACCTAAACTGCAAGAAGTTGTGACTTGGGTGAAGAATTCATGTGAGAAAATCACTGACAGTTGCATTGCAAATGCACTGCGAGCAGGCTACCTTGACAAGAAATACTCATTTAAAGACAGTGCTATTGCTAAACATGAGAGATTTGGTCCACTGATTCTGAAAGAAATGGAGTCACAAGAAATTCACCAGGAAATTCAGAAATTGGATTGTTATGATGATGTTCCAGAAGATGATGACATGATTGTCATTGAATAAATGAGTAAATTCTTGATACTGTAGGATTCACAGTTTGTCTGGTTTGTGTTGACAACTACCATACTACCGTACCATATACAGGTAATAAATTTCCTTTATTTTAATTTAACAATAAATGTGTACTGTATTCTTCTTCATGAAAAATAAGACATCCCCTGAAAATAAGACCTAGCGCATCTTTGGGAGCAAAAATTAATATAAGACACTCTCTTATTTTTGGAGAAACAGGGTATGTGAGGTGGCAGATATGTTAATTGACCTGAATAATCATGTGTATGTACATAAAAGCATCATGTTGTATATTTTAAAAATATATACAATTACATATGTCAATTATTCCTCAACAATGTTGGGAGGAAAAAAGATGCAATGACACACAGAGGAGAACGCATGTGAAGACACAGGCAGAGACTGGAGTGATGCATGTAGAAGCCAGGGATTGTCAAGGATTGCTGGCAACCATCAGAAATCAGGAGAGGCAGGGAACAGATCTTTTTCTAGAGCCTTCAGAGGTGTACCTCATGGTTCTCAACCACAGTAGCAAAATTACAGTTATGAAGTAGCAACAAAAATAATTTTATGGTTGGGGGTCACCACAACATGAGGAACTGTATTAAAGGGCTGTGGTATTAGAAAGGTTGAAAAGTACTGCCCTTGAAGAATGTAACCTTCATGAGGACTAAGATTTGACTAACTGGCTCATGGTTGTCTCCCCAGCTCCTAACACAGTGCTTGGCACATAGTAGGTGCTCAATAAAGATTGGTTGAATGAATGAATGAATGTATGATTAACAGGCTCCAGTGCTTATATGAGTGTGTGTGTGTGTGTGTGTGTGTGTGTGTGTCTGGCTGTGTTGGTGCTACAGATGGAAAGCAGGACAGGCTGGGGGTGGGGAGTATCTCAGGCTGGGCCTGCCGACCCCCCTCCCTTAATCTGTTCCTCATCACACTGACACTGACCACAGACCTCAGGAGTAAAGACCAGAGTCAACCTAGGCCCCACTTAACCCAGGAAAACATAAATGGACTTTTCTGGCAGACACAGAGCCTGTGGGGTGTCTCTGCCTCAGGCTGGTGGTCGGCTGGGCTCTGCAGTAAGAAGACTGTGGGGTGCCTGGGCTGTGAGCAGCCCTCTAGTTCACCTCGAGCACGTTCCCCACTTCAGCTATCCATTTGCCACTGTCCCCACTGCTTTCATCTCGCTGTACCAGCTTTAGTACTTCCATTAATACTTCGCTTTAACTCACTTTTCCCCCTTAATGGATGGATTTTTAAAGGGATAGGTATGTCATTATCACAAATGGAAAAGCAATACCTGAGCCCAAATAGAAGGAAACTATAAACATAAATATGCAGAAAATGACACATTATTAACCTCTAGTTCAAGAATGTAGATTGCCCAAACTTTGAGCCTGAGGTTTGCAATCTCCTGGTTATGAGGAAAACCAGTGTGGAGAGATGTTAAAGCAAGTGAGGCTTTCTCCCCTTGAACAAGAATTGCTGTCTGGCCCTGGCCTGTTTGGCTCAGTGGATAGAGCATTGGCCTGCATACTTAAGGGTCCCGGGTTCGATTCCAGTCAAGGGCATGTACCTTGGTTGTGGGCACATACCCAGTGGAGTGTGTGCAGGAGGCAGCTGATTGATATTTCTTTCTCATCGATGTTTCTAACTCTCTATCCCTCTCCCTTCCTCTCTGTGTAAAATCAATAAAATATATATTTTTAAAAATTGTTGTCTGATTCATTGCTAACTGTCCCACCTATCCTCACCCTAGAGAACTCCCCGGTGGGTCACCTCTCACCTTTTGGGAAACTCCCCTCTGGCCAAGCAGTTTTCATTTCATTTTAGGTCCAGAACGCTGATGGGGATGCCCTGGAAGCAGAAGCCTGTGCAGCCTGGTGGCGAGGCAGAAAGGCCCAGCTGGAGGGAGTTTCCCAGGAGGCTGGCTGAGACTTCCCTACTCCCTAGCAAGTCCCTCTCTTGTCCCAGCCTCGCCAGCAAAGGGAAGCAGGCACAGGGCCAGGCTGGCACAGGGCAGACTCAGCTGAGCCATGGCAATCCCCAGGGAGCCAGGATGAGCTCATCCCTAGCCCTTATTTATCTTCCCGGCTAATGAGCATCTGAGAACCTCCTTGCCATTGCCAGGAAGGACCCCTGGGACACTGGAGGCAGGGAGGTGCGAAGGGCCAAATGTCAGCAAGGAGGTAGAGGCCCCAGGAGAGGAAATGAGCTTGGGGAGGGGAGCTCTACTTCCTGCCTCTTCTTTGTAGGGGAGAAAGCTGGGGCAGGCAGGGTGGCAGTTAAGCACAGGACTCTGAAGCCTGCCATGTGAGCTTGAGTCACGGCTCACTGCTCATCACCTATGTGGCTTAAGCGAGGACTTTAGTCCCTCACTGCTCAGAGTGTGGTTCCCCAAATGTCAGCACCACCTGGGAGCTTGTAAGAAATGCAGAATCTCACACCTAGAACTTCTGTGACAGAATCTGCATGTATGGTTGTATGTGTGTGTGTGTGTGTGTGTGTGTGTCTGTGTGTGTGTGTGTCTGTGTGTGTGTCTGTGTGTGTGCACGCTTAGTCCTCACCCTAGGATATTTTTTCCATTGATTTCTAGAGAGAGATGGAAGGAAGGTATGGAGGGGGAGAGAGAGACAGAGAAACATTGACCTGAGAAAGACACAATTATTGATTGCTCCCCACATGCCCTCCTACCGAGGCTGGGGAACCTGCAGCCAAGGTACATGACCTTGCCCGGGAATCAAACACATGGCCTTTCCGTCCACAGGCCGATGCTCTAGCCACTGAACAACCCAGCCAGGGCCAGAACCTGCATTTTAACAAGACCCCCCAGGTAATTTCCGTGTTCATGTGCCACTCTGTGCCTCAGTATCCCCATCTGTAAAATGGGGATTAAAATGAGTTTATGCAGATGGAGTGTTTTAAACAGTGTTTACTGCCATTATTATTTATTGTTATTCTTGAAGCAACTCAACTTGGGCAAGATGATGGCTGGGCCCAGGTGGGCTGCTCTCAAGGCCCTCCCCCACTACCCCCAATCTCTCAGCACCCCAGAGGGACTTACATGAGACCCAAATGAAGATGAGGTGCCTGTGGCTCAGAGAAGTACAGTAACTTGCCCAAGTTCCAAATGGGGAAATCCAAGTTCACCCCAACTGTCAGACCCTGCTACTAAGGTTAACATTAAATACCAGGTAGGTGGAATTGTTGCCTCTGCACCAAGCACTTGAGGTGCTCACAACCACTCTGTGAAGTCAACCTTACTGTCACCCCTATTTTTCAGATGAGGAACCTGAGGCACAGAGAGGTTAGGCTGCTTTTCCAGAGGATGTCTAACTCTCGACTTCTGTGCCATGTTACATCCCACCTTATTTTTTTTCTCCCAGAATCTTTTCCCCAAGTGTCCCTGTCTTCTCTGTCATCACTTTGCCCTGGCTCTGGGGCTCTGAGCCTGCCCCTCCCACAGCCTTTACGAGGTCTTTGAAAACTTCAGGCTGGGACCACAGAGGCCACTGGAACTGGGTCTGCGGGAAGAACCTGTTTCCTTCTGTTCTGGGCTCCCAGATGTGACAGGAGCCTTTGAAGGCAGTGCTAGACAGACTGGGGTTGTTTGAGACGCTTGGCTCAGGCCTCTAAAGCCGGGCTTCCCTCAGGCTCTGTCCCCTATTCCTATTCAACCACCAGTTCACCATCTGGGCGTGGCCCCTTGGCAAGGATGCAGCTGGGCCAGGCCTGGACCTCTGCAGACTAATCATTCATTCATTCGTTCGTTCATTCGTTTGTTCATTCATATATATATTGAATGAATGTGTGCCAGGTACTGTTCTGCAAAAGTGGCAATGAATGAAACTGCCCTACTCCTGGGGAAGAGACAGACCAAATTTAATCACACACCCTCAAAAATGTGCAATTTCACAATGCTCCAGGCAGACAATAACGAAAGGAATCACTTAGGTAGAGATGAGGGAGGGCCCTCCTGAGGAAGGACATTTAAGCTGAGATCTGAAAAATGAAGTGGAAGAATACTGCAGCTAGAGGACACAGCACGAGCAAAGGCCCAGAGATGGGAAACAGCCTGGTGCACCTGAAGCAGGAAAGAGACCAAACCAGCCAGGCTGCTCTGGAGGGAGTAAGGAGAGCCTGGCCACCATGGTATTACGAGTTGAGTCCTCCATCTTCCCCCAGAGGGTCTGCTTGAAGCTGGGAGAGATGTTTCCAGCTGTCAAGCCCCCCAGCTCTCAGAATGAGAGGCTTCACCTGCCCATTCCTATCTTCCAAGCCCGAGGCAGTGACCCAAGGGTCTTGAGCCCCAGAGGTCTTGAAGGACCCGTCTTACCTTCTTGCATGCTCTAGCTTGCCACAGGGCCAGCCGGTGTCCTCTCACTAGATTCCCTTCTTGGGTGAACTCTCACTGTACTTATTGTCTTCTCACTGGATTCCCTTCTTGGGTGAACAAGTGGAAATCCCTGCACTTATTGGCCCCTCGGCGTTCCCTGGCCTTGCCTCAAATCCTGCCTCCGTCAGTCACCAGCTAGCTGTGGTACTTCTACCCTGCGGACCTCATGTTCCTCATCTGTTAAATGGGATATTTCTCGTTCCCGAGTAATCTCGAGAAACGTGTTGAGTGGTTAGCACAGGGCGTGGCCCTTGGTGTGGCTAATCAAGGTTATTACGTTAAATAACCATGTTTATAAGAAGCCAAGGAGAGGCAAACTCCCGGCATCTCAGCCCTCAGCAGAAGGAGAGCCCCGTGAGGGTGGCCGGGATCTTGTTTGTCAGCGGTTCCCGAGGGGACCTGTGTACCAGGCACAGGGTTGGTGTTCCATAAATGTGTGAGTGAATGAAAATAAGTAAATGAACTAGCCAATAAGTGAATAGCCAGTTCCCCGCCCCAAGCAAGGACTTTCAATTAAGGGGTCCTGCTTCTCTCCAGCTCTGGCCCGGGATCCCACCGCTCCCGCTTCTGGGCAACACTCATCTGCGCTAAGCCTCAGTTTCCCCCTCCCTAAGCCCCGGGTGAATACGAGCAGCCTCTAAGGTCAGAGGGAGGTTTCCTGGCCGGGGACCCGCAGCCCCGGGCGCCCAATCCTCGCGCGCTGAGGTAAAAGTGTCCCCGTCAACCCCCCCCATCCCGTCCCCCTTTCTGCCAGCTGCGTCCAACTCCCGGCCCGCCTCAGGCTGACCCGGCCCAGCGCGCACGTGACCACGCCCCGCCGTCCCAGCGCGAGCTCCCATTGGCCTATCCACAAAGGCACCGCCCCATTTCCAGGGGCGGCGCCTGGAATGCCCCGCCCGCCGCTGAGCTGGGGCTTCTGCGTCCCGACGGAGCGAGCGCCGGACCGGGCTGGCGTGCGGGCAGAGGCGGGTCCGCAGGGCTGCTGCGGGGCGATCCAGCCAAGCTGCAGGCGGCGCCATGGTGAGCGGGTCCGAACGAGCTGGGTGATCGGCCGGGCGGAGACTTACGGGAGGGAGAGGGGCGACCCTGGATGGAGCTGGGGCGCGTGCTGGGCAGCTTGGCCGCGGGCCGGAGGGAGGGGGTGTCCCTGCGGCGGGGGAGGGGCAGCCCGGGCGGGGACGCGGCTTCGGGGGAGGGTCTGTTCCGGGGGGCCGCGCCCGCGGGCGGGGGTTCTTTGTCCGCTGCGCTGCGCTGCGGGCGAGATCGGGACAAAGGAGGCGGCGGGGGGCGGCGGCCGCTTTGCGGGGAGCGGGTGTTTCCCCCCCTACGCGATGCATGCCCCCTCCTGCGGCCCGCAGTTTCGAGCCCTGGCCGGCCGCCCGGCTTCTCCCGATACTTCGGTGTCTTTTGTTGTGTTGTTTTTTTTAAATAACGGAGGAGGCGCGGATCCTGGCAGCCCCCGGGGTGGTCAGGAGGGTTCCAAATGGCAGGGATGGGGTCCTGGCGAGGTCTGGCACCCATCTGGCAGGTGGAGAAACTGACGACGGTCCCCAGCGTTTGGTGCCGGGTTCCGTCGGTGGTGGCTGCGCGGCGTGGGCAGGACTGGGTCTCGTGGTCCCAGTTCCCCCTGCCCGCCTACCCCCCTCCCTCCTCCGCTGTCTGGCCAAGGGAGTTCTCTTTCCAGTTGTCCAACCCTCTCCAGCTGTCGCCCCCTGGGCTAAGCCCCTTCCTCCAGCCTCGCATAGCTTCCTAGCAGAATGGGAGAGACTACGGCTTTGGCTGGGAGGGTTAAACCAGAGGATGCCTGGAGCGCGCCTGGCACCGCGCCTGCACGTCGCCCGCGCTTAGCACGCGGGAGCTGCTGGGGCGCTTGTCATCCCTGTGTACCCCGCATCATCGAGGCCTCAGCCCCCCTCACCCAGCCTGCTCCTGCTGGGTCGGGGTGCGGGGGAGGCTGACTTGGGTTTCCCTGTCCCCTGGCCCTGGGATTGGGGAGGTGTGGGTCAAGAACATCATAATAAAATAAAATAGAATATCACTTTAGAGTCAAGATTGAAATCTGGAATTCTGGATTCAGGCAGGCTGGCTGGATTTGAGTCCCTGTGCAGCAAAAATTTGAGCTGTGTGACCTTGGGCAATTGATTTAACTTCTCTGAGCCACAGATTCTTTATCTGCAAAGTGGGCATAGTAAAAACTCTTCGCTGGGTTGTTTCTGAGGCTGAAAGGAGATGATTCTGTCAAGTTGTTTAGCTCGGTGTCTGGCACATAGTAATCATCGCTAACTTTTGTCAGGCATCTGTTATTACCAAACTTGTTTAGCCAAGTGGGCTGACCCTGGGGCAGCCTGTGAGAATTACCAGTGGCTGATTCACAGGGTGGGGGCATGAGCCTCAGGCCTTGGTCTGCAGGAGAGACCCAGTCTGACCTTGGTACAGTCCCCGAGCTCTGCCCCAGGCCAGCTTCCTCTTCTGCACAGGGGAACCTAGGGGGTTCTGATGCGAGTTTCCTCTTCAGGGGGGTGGGGTAGAGGATGAGATGACACTGATCACAGAGCTGGGCACAGCCCTGTAATTGTTAGTCTCCCATGAGGATCCCCACTGTTCTTGGTCCTGGCATTTAGAGGACAGGGGCCTTGTGTGATGTGTCCTTGGGTCCCAAGGACAGCTGGGGCCTGGCACAGCGCAGATATTCCCCCTGTGCCCTCACTGTGCCCAGCAGTGTCTCTCATCCTCTCTACTATTCTATGTTCCTAATCAGAAACCGGGTAGGAAATGTTTCTCATTTGTGACCTGGGGTCCCATGAAGAGGTGGAGCTGGGTTTGTTGGCATATCTAGCAGATGGCTTTGTTAGGGGAAGGGTGTGGCTTAACCCCTAGGGGCAGGGCTGGAAGCCTCTGGGTTAGGGGGGTTGGCCCCCTCTAAGCAGGGCAGCCCCAGAAGGCGGGGGTGGTAAGCTCGTGTCCAGCTGGGCTGGGTGACACTCGTGATATGCTCAGTTAAGTGAGAAGGCAGTGTCCCCGAGGAAGGGACAGTTTGTGGCATTGTGCTTGGACCAGACGGTACCCTCTTGGGAGGCAAGTCTTTGGGGAAAAGGGATCCCAAGGGCTCACTGTCCTCTCTGTGGCACCCAGAAAGGCACAGGGTACCCGGTGACATTCAAACCTGGGAACCCCCCCTGGCCCTTCCCGTTTTCACATTTCTTATCACTTCTCATCCTCCACGCAACTTGATGGGTGAGGTCAGGGCCTCATTCCTATTTGGCACACTGAGAAGCAGGCCATTAGGAGCAGCTTGCTTGGCTGGGTCAAAACGGCTCACAATAGCAAGTCAAGAAAGAAGTGGGGTGGGTGAACAAGGGGCCTCAAAACTGCTTTTTGCTGGCTGTGGCCCCACTGTGCCTTGAGTGTGAGCAGTGAGCCACGGAGTGGGATTAAGGCTCAGTTTGGGGGTTCCATGAAGTGTCAGGGATAACTGAAAGAAACCCCACCTAATACTGGGAAAGATCTAGACTGTGGGCCTCTTAGGGGCAGCAGGACAGTGAGAGGTGTTGGCTGTGGGGAGAACTATCCTTTTGAACCCATTGATGCGCAGAGGGGGCATGGGATGGGGAGCTCAGAGGAGCAGCCTCTGCAGATTGGAGAGGCCGGGCTTTAGGGCTTGATGACTGTTCTGAGGCTGTCAGGTTTCCAGGGTGCCATCCTGGGTGTCTACTCAGCCCAAGCCATGGCCCTCTTTAGCTCACCGGGGGGCTTTCCTGGATTAGAGTGAGGGGACAGCTAACTTGCAGAAAACACCTTGGCTCAGAGGGGCACAGGGATGGGGGATAGGGAAAGCCACAGTAGAGAACACAAGTAGGGTGGGGTGTCACTCAAGCCAGCCAGCCAGCCTCCCTCATGCTTCATGTCCCGTCTGGTCTCTGCTTCTTGGAGGCCTCCTCCCCTCCCCACTGCTCAGTACTCGCAGTGACAGCTGCCCTTCCATGGGCTCAGGCCTGCCCGGCCTCCACTTGCACACGTTGCTCCCACCTCCACACTCAGGCTGCAGCCTGTCCTCCCTTGCAGGCTGCTGGCTTCCTGAGTCTGTTCAGACAGACAGGGAGACCCATGTCCAGAGTCCTGGGAGTGGCTTTGGAGTGAGGGAGCTGGCTCAGGGATGGGTAACTGCCAACTGTGATCCCCATGACAACAGGGTCTCCTCTGACTCATCACTCTATCACTGGGCTTGGAGCAGTCAGCAGACATGTATCGAGCACCTGTTGTGGGCTAGGGATCCCGCAGTGAGCAAGATAGTCAGTGAGCAAGATAGTCAGTTTTTCTGGCTCGGTCCACTGCAGGAAGGACAGTAGCTAGGGAAACGTGTTCCCTGACCAAAGAGGATTTCAGGTAGCGGAGAGTGCTAGGAAATAAAATGAAGGAGTGCAAGGTGGTGGCAAGTGTAGGGTGGAGGGGTATCTGGAGCCAGGGTGGTCTGGGAGGGCATCCCCCAGGAGGTACCTTCTAAGAAAGTCCCCCCAAAACAGGAAGGAGCCAGACATGGGACAATCAGGGAAGAACATTCCAGGCTGAAGGAGCAGAAAATGCAGAGGCCTTGAGGTGGGAGGGTAGAGTGTGTGCAGAAGCTTCGGGAGGCAAGTAGTTCAGATTCTTTGCTGATACTGCTGAGCAGGAGATGATGTGATCAGATTTTTTAAAAGATGAGTTCCCAGAAAATATACTTGCTGAGTGAGTGAAGGAACAAACGAATACATTCAGGGGAGGGCCAGAGACACAGGCCAGGTCACCTGGCTCTGTGCTCATGGGGGTGAGGGTCCCAGACCTGGCTATGCCCACTCCTGGCCTGATCAGGGGCAGCAGGTACTTGGTAGTGTCTTTTGAGGTTACCACACCTCCAGAAAGTCCCTGTGAGCTGGGGGGCTGCCTCTGCCTTGGCTTCCTCATTAGCTTGGGGCTTCTGGCTTCAGTGGGACTGGCCCTTGGGTTCCCCCCATCCCCAGGTCTTGCTGCCATTGTTTGAGTTCCCAAACCACCCCCCACTCCCCAAACGCACGCAGACTTCCCCTTCTGAATTAATAACTGACTTCCCTTCCTGTCCACGAGTGCTGTGGGAGTGCAGGCACCCCAGCAGACACTGGACAGGAGAGGTCCAGTAGAGAGAGGGAGGTGGGGAGGGACAAGGCAGGCAGGTGGTCTCCCCAGCAGGAAGAGAAAATGGAGGTCAGGGTGGCGTGGAGGGGTAGTCACCTGTCCCATCTGGAGGGCTGAGAGGACAGGGTAAGGAAGGTTGTGGGAGAATAAAGCAGCCCTGATGGTCACCTGTACACTTGGGACACAGAGGTGTGCAGGGCCACTCATGGAGCACACAGTCTGATGGGTGCTAACCAGATGGTTATGCTACAAAAGCAGGGTTGCAAGCTGAGGCTAGTGCCCTGGAGGGAGGACTCAAAACCAAGAGACACTCCTGGATTGTAGGATCAGGAGGCTTCCCTGCATGAGCTGGCGTTAACTAGGTCAGGGTGACTCCACCTGCACACTGTTGAGCTTTGTTGGGGTTGGGGAGCTGTCCCATGCTCTGTGGGGTCTTGAGCAGCATCCCTGCTCTCTACCCACTCGGTACCACTAGCACCCACACACACACATACATACACCAGTTGTGACAACCAGAAATGGCTCCAGATATAGCCAAATGCCCCCTGGGGGACAAAGTTGTCCCATTAAGAACCCTTGAACAAGGGTAAGGGGAGC